AAGACTCCCAATAATAATACCCAATTATTTCTTTAACCATTTTTTCGTGGTGATTTTATTTTATAGGTCCGCCAAAACCCCAAGAAAATGCAATGGGGGACCAATAAAAAATTCTTAGTATTAAAAAATTGTTAAATCAACAATTGGGTATTAATATTGGTAGTCTCCTGAAGAGAACCACAGTTTTCCGATCGTTGTTTTTTCTCCATATAAAATACATGGAAAACTTTGAGCGCTTTTAGAACTCCCCAAATATGTTTTGATTTAAAAATAAAAAAGTAGGGGTCACTCTAATGTACGCGGATATGCAAGTAGGTATGTTCATTTGTAAATGACAAAAAAAAAACATTCTTATTAGTAGCACGAAGTAAATTTAGTACACTTATAGCGGCGTACGTGTGTTTTGTGAATTTTCTCAGGCAGACAAAAAAAAGGGAAAATTGAAGCTACTATTGCGAATTGTTCGCGGCGGAGGTGCTCGTTGGTATGTACGTCACAAAGTCGAAACGGCGCGTCAGAATTGTAATTATAAGAACGGGCGCATTTTCAGCCGATTTTGTTTTTTGTCGACCGAAGGCGGAGAGGTGTCATCAAGAGTTAATTACTGGAGCTAACAGTATAATAGTTATCTGTACGTAAAATAGAATTATAATAGGGCGGGGTCCGTACATTATAGATGTTAAAGAAAATTAATATAGGCTTCTTCATTAAGCAACAAAAGCGATATCAAAATTTTTTCGAATTCTTGTCTGTCTGTATGTTTGTACCCGCATCACTTGAAAAATAATGCATGAAATTGAATGCAGTTTTCGCCGATGTAGTGCTAGCGGTCTAACTTAAAATATAAACGAAAAAAAATAGAGAGTTGCCACCTTTTTGAAAATTGCACTTTAAGTGAATTGATAAGATGAAGTAAATATTGCCTTGCGGCTGACAAACAAAAGAGGTTTAAGAAGGCTTACATTCGAAAATATTTTTGTGGAACGTTGCTACCTGTTTGAAGATTTTAATTTAATTTAATTGGTAAGATAATTTAAATATTGCAAAACTGGTATAAAACTAAAAAGGTTTAGGAAAGTTTATTGCCGAAAATATTTTTGAGGTTTGAAAAATTGTATTTAATTTAATTTAAATATATTCACAAAAAAATGAAGAGTGCTTCATAAATCGAAAGTTTGTTTGAAAATCTCAACTCATAAAGCATTCAATTCATAAACAGAAGTGTAAATAATTTGCCAGCTTTTGATTGAGTGCCTGCTGCAGAAGGCGTTTAAGGATTTTAAAACTTCATTTGTAGCACCCCTTCGTTTTTTTTTTCTTTTAGGTATTTGTTATATCATTACAAGTTTCAATTTTCTACTGCAACCAATAGAGGAGGGTGTGCTCAATGACCTCGAAATGCGCTACTGAAACCCTTTGAAACTGGCAAAAATATTCATGATTTTTTTGAAAAGCTAGTCTTGCCACGACAACTGAAGCTGTAATATTTTTGGAGCTTATTTAAATTTTAAATTGTCTTAGGTTGCATAACCAATTGTTAGGTTAACATATACATATATACATGTACAATATTTTTCTAGCCAGAGGCAAGAGGAAACATTTTGGAAGTTGTCCCCAAACCTATCTCGGAAATTTTTTTTGGGACCACTCTAATTTAAATAACTGGAAAACATCCAAATAAATACAAAATAAAAATACAATTTAAAAACCAATTGCCGTATTCAAATACGCGCAAAAATATTATCCAATTATTTAGTATAGTCGAAATCGCGCCACGCAGCTTCCGCCGCCGCTACTTCGATCGAATCGAAATTTTCGGTTTGTTATAAAAATAACTTCTGCAATTTGTTGCAAGTCAAGTAAAATATTTATTTATTTATTTATTTTTTCGTAAATTAAACACGTTTTTAATATGTTCATGTGCAAATATGTACATATGTGTGTGAAATTTTTGCCACCTCCAAAATACATTCTTCCTTTTTCCGTTTAGCTTTTGAAATTTTGCCAAATTTTGATTTGTTTTTATTTACGTTTTCAAATCGGTTTGTTGTACTTGCGATTCGCGAACGCTGCCACTACTAATAGCGCTATTTGCTTGTATATAAAATTTTGAAAATTTATTGCTAATATTATTTTTGCGTAGCGCGCATTATAATGTGTAAAACTTAAGGCAGGATGTTTTTAGATGTACTTAATTATCAGATAACATTGGCTACAGAAAACAAAAACCAAAATGCTGGAAAAGCAAGTACCGACACCTGAGTGGAAGATCGACACCTCTCGGCAGCCAGTTCGAAAACGCTCTATCTCAGAAAGCTTTTCAAGAACGCCCAATTTCAGAATTTAATTGCAGAAGCATCTCAGCATTCGGTTCAAACCGCCTTATCAGCTGCGGATTCAAAAACGCACATTTTCTCGGCACACTTTCGTCACAAGTCGAGATAGAGCGTTTTTGAACTGAATTCTGAGATAGGATGTTTTTCAATAAAATTATGAAATAGGGCGTTTTCTCGAACTGGCTGCCGAAATAGCAAATTTCTAAGCTTTCAAGTGTACAAAGAATAATAACGCGATCTTTCCCGGGGATACAACACATTCCTTAATATTCACAAAAATTAACAAAAAAAAAAACTCGTTGAAAACCGCTATTTTCGTTACATTTAAATTGAACGTTTGCTTAATAAAATTATTTAAAAAATGTACGCTTAAATACATTATTACCTTCTGTATGCGGAACCATCACTGCTTTTTAAGAATACAATGCAGAAATCAAAATATTAACTCAAAACCGTCACGATCTTTCTAGACAGCGAAAATTTATTTATAAGCAGCGTTTGAATATTCTGTTTCCGGTCAACGGTGTGCGTTCGCTGTTCAAGTTAGATAAGTGAGGGGTGACTGGGAAATGTTCTCTATCGGATGTGTGTAATTTTTCAAGTTTCTTTCAAAATGTTGTCAAATTGGTTTATGGCCGTCTAAATCGTTAAAATACCCCTACGTGCGACGGGTACACGCAAATGTTTTGTAACGATTCAAGACACGTGTTATGAAACAGATGCTGCCTTGAAGGTGACTTAAAAAATGATTGACTGGAGAGTTAAAAAATATAAATAAATAAATAGTAAAATAATTATTTACAAACTCAACGGAAAAGTACCCCAAACACGAGTAACTGTATATTTTAAACACGGCAAATATGTTTAATGCAAATTTTAGACGGCTATAATTTATTCTTTTTAACAAATTTTTTTTTAACATTTTACCACCAATATGCTAGACTTTTTTCACACTTCAGCCAACCAACCAACTAGCCAGTCAGCCATGCGTTTGTCAGCAGATGTGCTCAGCGTAGCAATCATACTTTACTTTAACCTTTTCTCATTGGAGGCTGGTGGTGATGCTTGGAAATTTCCAAAATTTATTTTAACAGTGAATTTGAAATTTCTATAATTTTTTATTATGTTGCTTAGGCATTTTTATGCAAATTTTTTCAAAGTCTCATGCACAGCTGGCAATTGTAGCGAAGTAAATGATAGCTTTGGGTTTTGGAAGCTAATTCATGTGATTGGTAAACTATTTGGAGAGCTTTCTAGTTGATTAATTGCACACCATCTTCGTCAGAAAGTGCAAAAGCGATTTCGCAGCACATGCTAATCATATGGGGAAGAGCGCCTTTACCTTAGGCTTTTTTTTAAGAAGANACAAAAGCTCTGTGTACATTTTTAGCGCATAATTTCAAAAACGTTTGCACTCAATGCAAATAAGCTCAATTATTGCTAATGAACTTTAATCATCGATTGTCATTAAAATTGCTGACTTTTCACGCACACTTACTCACATCTCTGAACAATTAATTTTCCAGCAGAGTTGAGGAAAAAATTGCAAACAAAATAACTACACTGCGTACACAGTTCACTGAATTCCATTGGGGGGACAGCAGTCTGAACTTCAGCTGAAATTTTGGTTTAAACAGTTAAGAGAGGCAGCGATTTTTAATGCGTTCAAGTGAATGGCTGTCAATTAAAGCACTGAATTATGCACACCTAATAGGCATTGATGGAGAGCCATATGCTACTTAGGCCGGATTAATTTTTATGGAAGATTTTTCCGACTACGCGCGTATGGGATTCTGCGTGTAATTCTAAGCAAATTTTCGGAAGAAACCATGGGTCTAAAATCAACTTGGACCTTTGCCAAAATGCGAAAATAGGCTTCTTAGCATTTTGCTGTAAATTTCGTGTAAAAACATGCTTTAAGGGTTTTTTGGTGTGATGAATCCATTTCCGAACTTATCTTTTACTTAAAACTTCCACCAAAGGCGGAACAGTGAAAAACAGTTGAAATTATTATTGCAATTCATTCCATAACACCCAAGCTATACAGCTGTCCTGCCGTACATATGCTGCTATCACGGCTATAGTAAAATTGAAGCAGAAAGAGAGTATATATAATATCTTTACATTAGGGCTGTGCGATTATTCGATTACTCGAGCAAGTTGGTTAATCAATTATTCGGTTAATCAATTACTCGAGTAATCAAGATTTTGATTACTCAAAACAATATTAATCGAGTTACTTGAAATATGATTACTCAAAAAAAATAATTTTGCTCGTTAAAGGAGTTTGCTTTGGAAAATGCTTATTTTCTTTTTTACATTCTGTATATGAAAAAAAATTTTCGTTTTAATTTTTGAAAACAGAAACGTTGTTTTCAAAGTATCAAGCAACTTTAACTACTTCCCAGCCAGCAAGAAAACGTACATTTTACGAACATTATGTTTTACGAGGGATTCTCGAATCGCCAAAAAGTTAGAGAAAAGCTCGTAAACGATAAAACAAAAAAAATATAATAGAAAGAGGCTTGTAGTAATTTGTCAGCACAAGAAAAAATTTTAGTTTTGTTGACAATTTTTCTTCAATCACAATATTTTAAAAGTAAGTAGTTTGTTAAATATTCAATTTAAGAAAATTATTAAGTATGTGAGTTATTGGCAGACTGGTGCAAACGAAAAGGACGATCTACCACTTTCTTTTGTAATTAAACTTCGTGTAAGTAGCTACTACCATCGGCGTAGCCAGAATGAAATTTAGGGGGGGGGGGCTCGACCCTATTAAGCTGGCATTTCAGGGTACTATTATATATATATATAAGGAAAATTTTAAAGTTAGGGGGGGGGGCTCGAGCACCCCCCTGCCCCTACCTGGCTACGCCCATGGCTACTACATATGTAATTCAAAAATACAAATTAATTTAACGAGTTTTGCAATTCTTTCACAGGCTGCGCGGAGCAACACTAAAGGATTTAAACGTTTAATTCCCCTATAGCGCTATTGGTTTGGCAACGACTGCGGCAATAAGAAGTACGGATAATAATATTATTTATTACCACTTTTTACTTAATTAAATTTTCCGATTTCCAATGGAGTTTAATCTTTCACTTTATTTTCTTAGGTGCTTTTCGTCGAAAATTTAACTCCGACAAAGAAGTTTTTATTTCCGTTTCAAAGAAGCACTTCCAATATGCACACAACCGGCAAAAAAATTCGCGCCTATCTGCAAAAAAAATAAAAAATAAATTCAGCTACTTTATAATATATGTATATTAAACCCCTCTAATTTAATTGTTAATTTGTTAATAGATAGTTTGTTAATATTTATTTATCTGAAAATATCTTCACATATACAGTATTGGCCAATACAATAGCACCCCCATTTCAAAGTCATATTGTTTGCCACTCATGCTTATTTTTTTATTTTTAAGAATTTTCAATTAAAATACGGTTCATTCTCTCACAAAACTCACATAACCTCAAGTTTAAAACTTTTTAAAAGACCGCAAAAANATTGCAAATTAGTATGCAAATTTATTGAATATTCCTTAGTTTTGCACAAAGTTTACTTTTACATTTTTTGGTGTAGAATGCACTATATTTTCATGAAAAATTGTCAAAAATAAATTAGAATAAATAACTTTGCATATATTGTGAAAAATTCACTGTGCCAATACTTTTGTTCGTCACTGTATGTATGTACTTGGGATATATTTTTGGGTGTGAAAGCGCCGATGGCATTTGCTAGAATTTTCATTCGAATTTTAATTTCTACTTGCAGAGATTTGTTGTTTCTCTGAAATCGTTATGACATTTTCCAATAATCACGCACGTACAAATTTGGTGTTTGTGCATTGCAGCTTTCTATGTAGTAATTTAAAGAGAATAACTTAAAAATTTAAATAAATTTATTTCTGCTGGTAATGGTAGCATCACTGAATATTGTTTCCAGTCTCGACATTTTTGCTAGAAAATGCCAGAAACTCCATGTATGATTTTGTTTTCGATTTTATGGTTTTGATTTGCTGATTTTAATTGAGGTACATTTCAAAAAAATCTTTCAAGAATACGCGCAGCTCAACAGTTTAATAAATTGTCTGCTATTTCTGCAACATTTTGTTAAGAAAGCAGCGCTAAGTTAACTTCTACTGTGGTATTATGTTGTTGTGGTAAGGGAACAAAGGTTTGCTTACCTCTACGATGTTAGTTTGTAAAGAAAACAAATGTCTGAATATTATTTCTTTAGTATTCTGTTAAGAGAACAGGTAGTGGTTTACTCATACCAAAGCATTCGCTTAGTTGAAGAAAAGCTTTCTAACTTTAACTGTAGTAATGTGTTAAGACAACAGAGGCCTATTAACTTCTGCTCTATCCTGTGAACTTCTATTGTTGTATTCTAAATTAAGAAAATAGAAGCCTGAAGCGAGACAACTAGATAGAGTGAGTACTCTCGCTTCACAGAGCAGATTAAGAATAATTCGTAACGTATACGCATCGTTGCACCACATTAGTAACCTCCACGTATAGCTCATTTGCTGCAATAGTGTCATAACTAAAAAAAAAATTATACGTTTAGTGAAGTATGTAGCAATGACCGCCACATCTTCTTTTATATTGCGTAAAAATTACATAGCTGTAACGATTAACAATAGCTCTTTAGAAGAAAATGGTAAGTTTTATCAATTTTTTTTTAAATTAATTATTGCTAAATAAGTTAAAGATTTAAAAAAGTAAAATTTTTTTAATGATTGGCATATGGTTTCCCACGTTTCTGCAAAAAAAAAAATATTTAACCCTTGTCGACCGTAGGGTATGAAGGGGCCACTTTTTCTTTTATGGTTTTATTAAAATAATTTAAATGCATTTTTTTTTTTAAATTCGTATTTCTTATTTATTAGGGCCATTTTTAAGGTTGGTATTTTGAAAAATGTTGCCAAATTTTACAAATTTCAGTTTTAAACCGAAACATTTTAGTGTTCGTGTTATAAAAAGACAACAAATTATAACTAAACATAAAAGCAGCAAACCTTACAGTAACAGAATTGTAAAATCGTCGAATTTTGACGCTGTTAGCACGACGGAGTTTTGTTGTCTATTCTCTTCTAAAGTCTTCGTGCGTTTACACCAGGGGAGCTCAACAAATTTAAGCTACTGAGCCAAACGTCAACAACGTCAATACCCATTACAACAACATCTTCTGGTAATTGCAAAAAATACAGACAAGCTATGATAACCAATGATACAAATATCGTCGTTTAAAAAACAAAACCGCGTATCGTCATTCGCCAAACAAAGAGAAAAATTCAGTGTAATAAAAGTACTCAATTCAGTTGAACAACAAACTTCTGCATTTCTTAAATTCTATTATAGATGATTCAGTTTTTTGAAAAGTTATGTTATGTAAAAGACTTAGATGGGTTTTCCAACCCATTAAAAATCTAAAAATATAAGACTGAATGTTATCTTCATATTACATGCTGCGCTTATTTGAGATGTGAGCTACCTACCACTAAGAATATTGCAAGACTGGTAAACTTCAAGCTCAATTGAAGAAAGTGATGTTTCAATGTCTTCCTCAGAATCGTTTAAATCTTTCATTATTGCTTTAGATGAGGATGGTAGTCCGAATTCACCACAGCAGCACCGTTTTCGCTCTCTACCCAAACTTTGGAAATATCGCAGTTCTTTAGCGAAGTTGGTTCTGAAAGCTGGCGCAGATTAAATTTGATTCATGTTCAAAGGCACAGTTCCACCTACAATTACATATAGCACATATAGACAATCCATGACAATCACAATAGTTCTACTCCACGGAATCAGGTTATGAAAATAGCTCGATTTATTTTATTTTACATACCTTTATCAATATTTTTCATACATATTAAAGTACTAGTTTAATTTGAATATTTCGGAAATAATTAGCACTTGCACTTTCAACAAAGTTTCGGCGCGTAAAGTGTCACACAAAACAGAAATAAAAACACTGATTTTGGCAACATGCTGATAGAAAAAGAGTGGCCATCTGACACGTTTTTTATAACTTTTTTAGCAACTCTAACAATTAGTAATTACACCCCATAGGAAACTAAAAGTTTAAAAATTCAACTCTCTCCTCTAAATTGGAACTTTTGACCATAGTTCATAGCAGCGTATATAAACTGTAAAATTTAAAAACTCTTGCAGCAAATGAGCGATATACATATGTACATATATGTACATATGAACATCACAACAGGCAGCAAATTCGTTAGCTGTTGGCACGCGCTGGCGTATACGTAACTAATATGCCCGTTTATGGTTACATAGATTTTTATTCATTTGCTACGCAGCAGAAGCTTAATTCCACCACATCAGCGCTTTTGTGTGGCAAACTTAATCGATGTAATTATCACAAAGTTGGCTGCACAGAAGAAGTTTTGTTACAAGATTAATTTTGTTGATATGCGCTGGGTACACTGTGTGATGGGCAGAAGTGTGTTTCGAGGGATTAGTGACGATTTTGTTTTATATTGGTATGTAAGTTTTTACTTAGGCAAAACAAAAAGCCTTTGCCATCGCTCAAAGGAAGACTAAATGTGTTCAGGTGAAACGATATCGCTGCTGTTAAACGTACGTATGTGTTTGCATTAATACATATTGTTACCTTAATTCATATAGGCCCTAGCCAACACTTTTTTCGCAACTGCATTTTTCACAAATTTTGGTAGGAGGTATTAAAGTACACCTTCAACAAAAATTCTAAAGTGCTAGTGCCAAAAACAACGGCGTTACATGCCACTTTTTAAAAAACCCTACCTGTTTTTCATACTCCTTTTAACCGACTTACATTTGTATATGAGAATTGCAGTCGGTTTTGTTTTTTTTTTGCTTAAAAATTACTTGCCTAATTATTTTTTGCTTCTCCTATAAAATAAAAGAACATTTGTTGGTTAGGACCTTTGTGAATTAAGGTAACGACATACATATTTACATACATACTTATATGTAAGTAATAATATGCAAAATTTTCTAAGCACTTAATGCTGTTCTTGTGCTGCAACTCTCAAGTGCCATTTGGAGTGGCACGAGCAAGTGCTGAGAGGGCTTCCCAACTGCACTTAAATGGCGCGTAACGCTACTTAGCTTACTACACGTGATGGACAATAAATCTACTGCCGTTCATACAGACTGGTACACCTCAACTTGCACTTGGCTTGAGTGCTTGCAAAACAAACAAACAAATAAACATAAAGCTACTGCTCCTCACCCTTACTTGTGCAATTTTATAGCTGTATTCAATTTACAATGGCATTGTCTTACTCTCTCTTCGTGTCGCCATTCAAATAACTCAACAATTGACCACCGTCAAGTCATTGCTGTTAGCCAGCCTCTGAGTCCTATTCAGCAAGAAGGCCGATCGATGCAGCATTTCAGTGTCCGATTATTTGCTGTTACAGCACACTTATAAGGATAAGAATGGTACTTGATTGTTTATTTGAATTATCAGCCATGGCACTATTGTTACACAAATTGCCGGTTGACTGCTTAAGTGGGGCAAGAAAAGTTGCATAAATTACAAAATTGCGTACAGATATGCATTTACATGCATACATACATACATGCACATGTGAGTGGGCACAACTTCCAAGTATGTATTTATGACTGGTGTGCTTCGAGGAGAACTACTCAGAGAAAATGATTGATTACACTGGTTTACAGCAAAAAAAAAGTTCTATAGATGCCACTATCCAATTCCTATGTAGAATTGCTCGGGGATTCCGAAAATCGGGATAGTTTTTTTTTTTCAGTTGATAACCATTCGATATATTTGCAATTTACCGTTATTCAGCTTAAAAAAATTGTCGCTTCACTTAAATACGTATATCTTACGAACCAGTTGAATACTCGTAATAGGAGATACGGAAAATGAAAGCAAATAAAATTCTCCATAAACCGTATATGATATGATTAGTGAAAATTTAGATAGAAAATTTTTACAAATTTAATAAGGGGTATTTTCTAATTCTCTAATGATTTTTTAAGTGAAATTCTTAATAAGAACAAACATTTTTTCATAAATGGAAACAAATTTTATAAACTTCTTAACAAAAAAAACAACTTATACCAACGTAGTTCATTCTATTTATTACTTCATTCCTTTATTATTCATTCATTCCTTCATTCTATTTATAAAATGACAAATGTTTGGCATGTAGCTGTCACAGAGGTGACAAAATACACAAGTAA